GCCTCCCAGAGACCTCTGGGTAGAGTGGGCGGCATATAAAATAAATAAATAAATAAATAAATAAATAAATAAATAAATAAATAAATAAATAAATAGTTTTAATTTTGGATACACCCAGAGAGTTAGCTGTGTCCTTTGTTATAAAAAACACAAAGAGTTTGTGTCTCCATAAAAATTTTCTTTGTTATAAGCTCTTGCAGACCATGAAGAAGTGGGCTATAATTCACTAAAGCTTAAGCCTAACAATTTACTTGTGAAGATAACATAAGATTTGTTGTTGTGGGTTTTTCGGGCTCTTTGGCCATGTTCTGAAGGTTGCTCTTCCTAACGTTTCGCCAGTCTCTGTGGCTAGCAAAGTGCTGTCCTCTGAAGATGCCGGCCACAGAGATTGGCAAAACGTTAGGAAGAACAACCTTCAGAACATGGCCAAAGAGCCCAAAAAAACCCACAACAACCATTAGATCCTGGCCATGAAAGCCTTCGTGAATCCATAACATAAGAATCTTGACTGATTTCATTTCCAGTCACCTGTAGATCCTAGACCCATAGGAGATGGTGACCTGGAAAACCCTGAAAATGGTCACTGTAAGTCAGAATTGAATTGTTGGCACATTAGTATTACTATTATATAAATGGAGTTACCTGCCTACCTAGCATTTTTATACTGGGGTAAAAATATAGGTACTGTACTGTCCTTTGATGACGTATCTTCCCACATCTGAAACACAGTTTTTTTAAAAAAATTCTTTAGGAGATGCAAACTGTTTATATGCTTAGCCAGTTGCTTGTTGGCTGGAGGGTACTAGAAGTGTGCCATATGCTTGGTTATGAGCTAGAGGAAACAGTTTGAATGTTGCTGTTTATTGGAAAGAACACTAAGGTTTGTTATATTTGGAAAATGGATTATCCCTTTCAGCCAGGCTGTCAAGCAGAAGGCCCTGGTAGTCTCATAGATTTCTAAGACTCCATGTCCCACTCAAGGGGTGAGGAATCTTTGGCCTTCCAGATGTCTTAGTCTAAAAACATGTAGCTCCATCTTTTTCTCCATTTGACACATGCCTTGGAATCAAAATCTGTAACATCTGGAGGGCCTCGATTCCCCATCCCTCTGCCACATGATTGTTAGACCAACTTCACAGCTTCTCTTGTCAGACCAACTTCTCTTGAAAGAAGCCGCACAGATATCAACTGCCAGGGTGTGTAGGGATTCCAGGTGGTTTGGGGTAACAGCAAGGAGTGGAGAAGATGGCAATGACAATCCATCTATATTTCTAGCTAAAGAAGGAAACTCTCCTGTCACAAGGAAGCAAACTTACTCTATGAAGGACTGTCTTGGAAACCTACTAAATACCATGGCACTTCTGGAAGAATTTTGTGTTGGTTTGTCTTAAATGAAATTTAGCATGCAGCTCTTTTTACTGGATTAAACTCATTAGGGCTTTCTTATGTAAACACGTAATAGGTAGAGTACACTGAAGTTATTGATGGATTGCTGGAAGTATATGAGCAATGATAGTTGACTCCCACCATTATACTGCTGAAATGAAAAGTAGCTGAAGAAAGGGATAAGCAGAAGAGGATTTTTAGGTGAGTTGGAGTTCATTTCAGCCCTGGTACCCAAAAGAAATTCCACAGTGGAGGATGTTTTGGTTGTTTGCTTGTTGGTGTTTCTTCACCCGGCTTTATTTACTGGATCTTGGTGGTTCTCCTTAAAAACAAACTAGATTGCGCCATCATGAAACCCGCCTGCCCACCCCGAGATCCGAGGCAATCACGTTGCCATTGCTCTGTTTTGCACTCCAGGGAGAACTATCTGGATCTGGTCTGCTTCTGCGCCGTCTCGGCCGCTCGGAGGAACGCTGCCCGAGGCCCTCCCTCCCTCTGCCCGCCGTGTGGTTTACGATCTGCTGCGCTCAGTTGTCGGCAGCGCAAGGCGGGCGGGCAGACACAAATTTCACAGCCACCAAAGGGAGATCGGAGCTGGCGGGAGAGCATTGCAGACCCGAGTGGAAAGAGCGCCAAGTACCCCCCTCGGGGCAGCCTGACAAGGGTTTTCCTTATCTAGCCAGCCCTGTGTTTTCTCTATTCTACTGAGCAGAAGGTAGATCCGGTCGCATGGCTGTCGAGATGGACGGCGAATGAGAGAGAAACCAGCGCACGAGAAACGCCGCCGTCTAGGCAGCTCGTCCTAGGAAGCTCCGAGCCACGGGCTTAAGAAAGAAGCGGGCGACCGAGGCGTCCTGCCGGCCTCGGGTTCGGTCGCCCTTGGGGCTGCTTTTCTTTCTTCCCTTTCCTCATGATTCCAGCGGCTCGGCGGGTTTGGATGTCCCGCCCCAAGGACTTGCTGATCTACTGCCTCATCTTCGCCCTCTCTTTCCCGCTGATGGTCCTGCTGTTCGCGATCTAAAATGACCTGGAAGAGGATCCTTCTCCGTTTCGGGGAAGCACTCGGAACGAGCTCGGTCTTGCAGCCGCGGGCCTGGAGGCTGGCAACTGCCGCAGCGGCAGCCTCGATGGCGGCGGCGGTTTGATCACAGCCTTCTTTCCCCCCCTTTTTTTTTCTCTCCGCCCCCCCTTCCGCCTTCCCCACTTCTTGGCGATGGGCAAGCGAGACAAGGTGAACGTGGGCGAGGAGGATGCGGGGCGCTCCTGGAGCCTGGGCCGCCTTCTCAGTTTTGCGGTCGAGGCTTGATTCCCGCGGGAGGGAGCCTGGAAGCCCCGTCCGTCGAGTGCGCGGCCTGCCCGGTTCCAGAGAAAGCGCCCCATCATTGCCAGGGGGTGGTGCCGCCTCTCCGCACGGAACCCGGGGCGAGGAGGAAGGAGGGCTACCCACCCACCGACCCCCTCGCGCCTAGAGGCAGCCGGCCGGTTGCATGGCAGAAGCGGAGAGAAGGGGAGGGCCCGCAGTAGCCACGCACGACGCCCGTCCTGAGGAGACCCTGCAGGGCGAACGCCACGACTGGAGCGACACCGTTTTCCTGCGCAGCATTTCCCACACCGGTCCACGGCTGTCTTCTCCCTTGCGGGCGTAAGGCCCCCCGCCACCTGCAGAGCCGGCCCCTCGCGCGACAGCACGTAGGGCTTCTTCCCTGCGGCGCCGCAACCGCCG